ATGAATACACACACCTACATTAGACATTGCACATCTACCTGTATTATGCATACATAAGGTTTTGCAAGTAGCAGTACAATTTCCTGCAAGTTCTCAGTGTGTCTAGCTGAAGAAGTTATTGATGGCTGAAACCATCAACATGGTTGGGGACTACAAAGTGCCAAAAAACTTGGTAAATTCAGTCTGGAATTCAAGTGACCAGAAAAACCCTTCAAAAAGTAAAACTCAGCAAGCAGCAAGCAAATGAACATGGGATTTCTCCTCCTCCTCCTTCTCTAAAAAGATACTGGAAAGAAAAAAAGGCCTAAACCATCATCTCCAAAACACCAAAAAATACTCCTCCCTATCCTGCTTAAAAAAACATTTTATTTTGATGGAAAGGAAGTAGCTGGTGGCAAGCATTATCTACTGTTCTAGGAAGACAGCAGTAAATTACAGCTCTAAATGGGCATTTTGATACTAAAATAGACCAAAATTCAAACCATACGTGGCCTGGTTTGAACATCCCACAGAAACTGGAGGTGGGAAAGCCACAGCAGCTGAGGCCCAAGTCCATGGGATCGTCTTGGCTCATCTCGGACACCAGGTTCAGAGGCAGGCAGCACAGAGGATGGGCAGGGAGGATGAGAAGCAGCTTTGGCCAACCTCTGCTGTTTAAGTAGCAGTTCAGAAAGGCCATGGTTTACTCCTGACAGACCTTTCCTGCAGACAGACCAGCAGAATGAGTTGGGCTGAAATAAGTTCACCAGGGAAGCCAAGGAGAGCTCACCCTTCTTCCAGTAAAAGGCCAATTGCCAAAGAGGTAAGTTCTGATGTTTATGGCTAACCTTTGATAGAGTAGCCACTTTGCTACTCTTTCTGGATCAGACAGTAATCTTCAGGACAATATGTATTGGGCTCTTTCAGCACCAAAGGCAAAGAAAACACGTGGCAATCCCATTTCAGGCACTGACAGAGCCTGGAAATAGTCCAGGTATCCCGGTTGTGACTTCTGGGCAGAACAGGCAAAGGCTGTGATCCAGAGAAACCAGCCTGAGACAGACCCTTCACCAGGCTGACCTGGTCTCCAAATCACACCACACCATGGAGCAGTACCCATTCATCTGCAACCCTTGGCCTGCAGAAGAACTGCAGGGACGCCCCTTGGCTTGTCTTTCCTGGCTAGAACCGTGCTCCGGTGTTTGAGGTGGGCTGTGTGCCTTAACTCAGAAGCACTCCTCACCCTGCCTTAAAACCTGAGCCACAGCACTCAGGTTACCGATGTGTGGAGACACACAGAGAAGCAACGAGGAGAACCTTCTGGAAAGGCTATTTATCCTCAGCTGTGAAAACAGGGCAGTATTGTATACTACATAAATAACTGGTTTAAGGGAAGGTAATCAGAAAAAAAAAGGAACATTCCTCCATGCCTACAGCACAGCTGAGCACCAACCAATCTATGCCTGCTTCAAGTCTAAAGGAAGACTTTGACTCTGCAGCAAAACATTAAGGTAGCTCTTGAAATGGGAGTTCATTTAAAAAGTACTAATGTTTTAAAAGAAAACAGAAATATGTAGAGCATTTTTTTTCTTGCATGAGTGTCAGGACTCTGCATAAACTGGAGGATGGCTTTTCTCAGCAAAGACCTAAAGAGATGTGACTGCAATAGCTGAGGCCCTTTAAATCGCCTGCTGGCTCTTACACAGAAATGCCACCAAGCCGCTCTCCATCATCATTATTTTTGAGATGTGCTATGGAAGAAAAACTATTCCACTATTAGGATCAGATCCCACAAAGTCCCAGGCACTCAGCATGGCTCAGAACATTACACACTTGCCTGCTGCACTGAAGCTCATTCATTATTCCTGTTACAAGGCAGTTTTAATGCTACTTTGAGGTTCTGGTAATTTTGAGGCCAATTTGCAAAGACGGCTGATAAAATCTGTTTCATAATTAGCATGCTCCATAAGAACCAACCCCTCCTTCCCTAAGTACCATCTGAGCATGTGCCTGGGAGGAGACTGGGAGAGTTGTGCTCAGGAGAATAGGGCCTGTTTCGTACAAATTTGCATTTGGAACAAATATCAGCCTTTTAAAATCTCAGGCGGTGCAGTACATTCTGCAGGGCTGGCAGCTTATCAAACCTAGCACTCAGCACCTTTTACTGCACGCAATTTAAGGAGCTGCACACAGACTGCTATACTGGCAAGAACAGTAGATGCAATGGAAGCACAAAGCTATGAAGAGCCAACAATTAAATTTGAGGATAATAAGAAAAAGCCCTTGTTTTGCCAAGGAAATTAATCTTGCAAAACCTCTGGAGATGCTCACCAACTCGCCAGATATGCTTCTTAAGCAGTCATGAGATCTGTAAATCTTGAGAGAACTATGATAAATCATTTGGGATGCAGTTTCCAAAAAGCCTCACTTCTGGCATAATGAAATCAGTGGGAACAGCGTTCAGCCAGTATCGAGAGCTTTTTATCCATGAAAACAGGGTAATATTTATGTATATGATGAAAGTGTTGTTAGGCTTATACTAATAATGCTTTTAAACTCCTTACCAGCCTCAGGCAAGAACAGACACACTTCTTATTACACCAAATAAATAGTAATCAGTACAAATTAATTTGCCAAACATTTAAAGCACATCTCACTAAGGCATATCCACACCTTTCTCTGGCTAGGACTTCTCATAAAGCTGTTTGTCAAACACGGTAAGAGCCCTGGCTCTCACCTATCATAGGACTAAACATCCTCTCAAACCCCTTGTGTAATATGAACGCATTTCAGACCATCTGGTTACAGGCCTGCGTTGATTTAAATGGATGTTTACATTTACCTGCATAGCACTTTTAAAAGGTCTACTGGTGTTGATAATGCCTTAAGCTGGGCATTACATATGAGACTCAGTTCAACTGTCTGAGCAGACAAGAGAATAGCTGGCTTAAGAGTTGGCATCAATTACCAAAAACCTACTTTTAACATGGTTTTAGTTTCTTTCCTGTGTTTTGGAAATTGGAACTAAGAAATTATATCCAATATTTCAAACAATTTCTTATGGAGTCCTTTTGCACTAAAACAACATAAGTAACTACATATGCATCCCTACAAAATACAACTGACTATAGGATGCTGGTCACATAAGACAGATGGCAAACCCTATAAAAGCTATAAAAAACCTACAGGATACTGAAGTCACATTGAAATCAACACCAAAAAAATCTCAGTAATTAAGAATGATGGCATCCTTAGTACGTCTGATGTAACAAAGTAGTTGGTAGAAAAATGTCTTTTGGAATTACCTTGAGACAACACAGGTCAAGTTTCATCTCTCTGGCACAGATTTTCTGGAGGACCTTGAACACATCTGACAGGTACCTTCCGTCCAGCTGTGCTGTGCTGACAGCAGAAACAACTACCTCAGCTGCTCTTCGAGAGTCCCTGCTGCAGGACTGCAGATGTGCTCCATGGCCAGGCCCTTACTTATTTCAGCCAATGCTAGTGAAGATATAAAAGACGGGCTATTTAAGCTACTCAGCTAATTCTGACCAGAAGGAGTTGGGAGCACATTTGCCAAAGGCAGGATGCGACAGGAGGCTCTGACAGGAGACAGCCATGAGCAACTACAAATACTGTACTATAATTTCTTCCTCGACACAGCTGTTTGTAGACTGCACATCTAAGTATTGAGATACCACTTAATGAATGGCCACAGCAGCCTCAAACTCAGCACAAGCTGCAAAACCCGTGTAAGCACAGAGTAAACACCCACTCAGCCCACACACAGCTCTATCACACTAAAGGTACATCGGTAGGAGGAACGAACCTTGGTAATTAACAGCTATCTAATGCTGCTGAAGTACATGGATAACCTTTGTTTATCTGTGCTTTATTCACATCTGAGAGAAGTGGAATTAACCATCTCACCTCCCAAAGGACTCTCTGCACAAATTATCAGTTCATTCAGTTATGGTAATAACAGAGTTACATTCAAATATAAACACAAGCTTGAACTTAAATCATAAACAGAACTTAAGCAGAAGCTTGAAGTTCTTTGCTGAATTAATGTATCAACAACATTATCTTTACATCTAGGAACACTGAGTCAGAGCGCTTTCTCGTCGATGTTTGCATAAGCAACAAATACAAGTCAAGGGAGTTTTCTATTATTGCCAGACATTATATTTTTTAGTTCTGTCAACAACCCGTCAAAAGACCTCAGGCAAGTCCTGTAAAGGTTCTGTGACCCAGTTTCTTTCCTTTTCATACAATAAGCAACAAGTAACCTCCCTCACAATGGGATTTCAACATACAGTATGTTTGATAGGCTCTGTATGTCTCTGATGGAAGTATCTACAAAATATACAAGATTCTCAATATCTAGACTATATCATATGAAAATCTAGCTGCTCAGCTTGCTGATTTGAAAGGCTTGAAAAGGTCTATGGTGCAGAAAGAATGGAAAATTAAGGACATGAGGGGAAAAAACCCTGACACTTTCCTCTTGGACAAGGTGGACATAGTCCAAAAATTCCTTATACTTTCTTTTCCTCTCTCCTCTCCCAGAGGTGGTTTTCTATTGTGTATGTGTTGAATGGTGGCTTTGCTGGAGTTGAGCCAAAGATAGAGGCAGATGGCTGCCTTTGTGGTCAGAGCTGGGAGGGAGGGAAGGATTTCCTATTGCAGAACAAAGCCGAGTTATTGATAACAAAAGCTACTAATGTGCTGACTATTAGGAAATGCTGGTTGATTTCTTTGCATGTGGAGTTTTGCACTAATGCCTAAGATTTGGGGAAACTATCTGAATTCAGTAATGGTGTCCTTTCTGGACATCTCTCCCTAGTGCTCAGAACTAAAGACAAGAAGAATCTGTCTCTCTATCTCACTTTCCTTTTCAGCAATTAAAATAAGAGAGAAGTAGGCATTTGGAAGAAACTGTGAAGTTCAGGTTGTTCTTGCAAGCTGTCAAACTGCTCTGGCCACCAGAAGAGAAAGATGCTGTTCCAAAGTACACTCACCATTAGTATGTCTGCTGTGATAGCCCAGTTTGAAAACAGAAGAGTTTCTCCGATAAAAATGCAAATCTGTTATAATAAAACACACAAAAAGGAGAAGATTTATTCACTTGTCATTGAAAGGAAAAATAATCTGTCACAAACTTTCCTTTGTTGCTTATTTGTTTCAAACCTATACAATACACTCTTTGTTTCTGTTGTGATTTATCCTGAATATCAGAAAATGATAGATTTTATCAGAGTTTTAGAGGGTTAGTTTGCCACTTCATTAGTGTAAACTGCTTGTGATCTACAGAGCAGCTAAGTAAAAGGTTGACGCATTTGGTAACAGAAGAACACAAAAAGCCAGCAAGAAGAGACAGCCCTGGGCTCCCGTACTTGCATCATTCTGTTTCAAAAGGCAGTCAGAAAAGGCAAGAAGGCCACAATTCCCCAAAACACAGTAATTTCATCACTAAGTATCAAGTTATGCATTAAACTGTAACAAACCAAATGAGGTTCTCCATCCCCTATGTACACGATCCCTTCCCTCCCCTGGTAGCACATTGCTGTCCTTTTCGAGGGGGATACATGTCTGAGCACTGCAGCTCAAGCATTACATGGGTAGCATCTACATACAGGCAAGACAGGACTTAAGTGTGCAACATCATCAGTGTCCTACAGTGAAATACAACTCTTGACTCTGTGGAGACAGTCAATGACATACATTAAAAGCCCTGTGTATGCAGTGGGATAAGAGCTTCTTCTTGTGCCTGTGTGGGCTGAACAGCCTCCACATATCCCTTCCACTGCAAGGACTCCCTCCTCACTTACACCCAGTCCACACTGCCTTCTCAGCTGTGCTGGTACAAAGCCAAGCAAGGGTTCAGAGTGGGAAACTGAGAGTCCAATGGAGCAAGAGTGGCATTGCTTCAGAAAGAAGCCTCCATCAAAAAGGTTTCTTTACTCAGATTTAAATAATGAACCTTTTCCCTTTTTGCTGATGTTAACAATTCAGCAAAGAAATGCAGGTTCAACATGATGAAAAACCAAGGACAGAAAATCTTTCACACACACATTTCCCTCTTTCTTTGAGTATAATGAAGAGCAGAACACATAGACAAAATGCTACTTAAATAACCAGACTTGTGAAATGCAGCTTCCCTATTCCTCACTAGTAAGAATGCAAGCAAAACTCCTTTAATCTCCCTCAATGGCTGCTTTTTGACGAGCTAACCCATTTCTTTTTGTGGCTTCTAGAGAGAAAACAACCTGGAATCCCTATTGGAGTTGGAGATAATGGTAATGGAGATCTGGATTCTGGTAATTGAATATTCCCCTATTAATTGCCTTATGTTCACTTTTTGTTATGTTGAATAGGCTACAATTCGTTAACAAAACAAAGCTGACAATAAAGACACTATTCCACTCCGAGGAAACATTCAGATGGATAATTTTTTTGTGGCGTTTTGGTGAATTTTGATGGGCTCTGGCAGTCACAGTCACTGCTGCACAGGCACAGGCACAGTCTGGGGTGGGAGAAGGACATCCAACATTGGCAGCCATGGCTCTGATGTGACCACCACAGCCGTCTTTCCCACACACCATTCGAGACTGCCTAAACCCCTCAGACCATCATGTCACTGCCAAGAATAGTTTGCTTTATTTAGCAAGTCTTATGCATCGACCTACAGAAAGCTTCCTCTATTTGTTTCTAAAGTTGTCTTTGTTTCCCACACATTCCCCTTCCCTATCTCCTCTTTTTGTGACTAGATCTGCTTCCCCTATGATGGTGTCTCAGCAAGTCACTATGGCCCAGCTGGTCAGCTAGGAAATCTCCTCTTTCCATTTTCCCACTGTCCACTGGTCTGTCCTGAACTTGGCTCTCACTGGAAATGACAATGGCCAAGGTAAGAAAAGCAGATCCAGTGAATCAAGGTGTTGATGGGAGCTGAAGCCAAGTGTCAATGCAGCAAGGGCATGCCGGAGCCCGAGGTGTGCTCTCAGGATCTGCTCCGAAATCCATCCTACTCCAGCTTTGCAGCTGCTGTTGTTGAGGATCTGGGGCTGGATGAGCTTGGGAAAGATGTAATCACACTTCTGAGTGTGGCATCAACATGCCCTGTCTGTTCATACAGCATTGCAGGCAGGCAACTGCTTGCCTTAAGGTTATATAAATTACGTACACATACACACACATGAATTCTATACGTACAGCAAGTAAAACTTGCCCCCTTTGCAGGAATTCAGGACAAGTTCTACAAATCACTGAAATACAAACTCCAGAGCAACACCAGGCTTGAACTGTTGAATGTGTATTTCACTCACACTTCCATGAAACACGTGCTTAATATGTGGATACTGGTAAAAGGGAAAGAGGAAAAGTAGGACAAAAGATACTGATATTAAAAAAAGCCTGTCCTTCAGCTGCTAATGGGGATTTAGAAAAATGAGTACATCCACTGCAAAGGGCATATGAGGATATGTGACATTTCTGCTGGAGAGAGACTCTAGGGATGCTTACTGCAAATAGGGCAGCCTCCAGAACAGATCAATAGCTTCTGAAATGGTCACGATTTTGACTTCGCACACACTTTTCGAATCCTCATTTTACACTGAGATTTCACCTCTAGAGATACAGCCTCCTCTGAATCCAGCTGTGTTGTAGAATATCTCACCATCTCCATTTGGTTCTCATCTGTAATGAGCTGATAGAAGTTATGTTCCCCTAAAGTCTTCCGTTCATGTGACCAGTGAGCAAATTCCAATTCCCCAAAACAGTAAGTAAAGTAGAGTCAGAGCGGTCACACCAGAAGCTCTCACATCTTCATTATCTGTATTTCTCTTTGAAATGCTACGTAAGACTCCCACATATACACTTGAATTTGAAGCAAGTCTAACTCCATCTCAGTGTTGGGGCAATATCGATGCCCCAGAAGTAGGTAAGTCACCAGCACCACATCAACAGAAAGTCCCTGGAGTCGAAACTGAGATGCTGCAAAAGCTCTATGGCAAGGTTTTACCCTGGGAGTTGCTGTTTCTGCAAGATCATAAAAGTGTCTTCAAGGAATTGAAATAGATGTTGAAATTGAGATACAACAGGAACTTGGAACAGTGTCAAAAGGAAGGCAAAGCAAAGCATTTCTCTCCAGTCATTTGGAGATTTAAACTAATCTAAAATCGGCTATTTGAATGTCTGAGTGGTGCGATACAACGCCGCCGTACAGCTAATGGGTTTCAAGAGACAGGTTTGAAAACCAGCGTTTCAAAGAGTACATATTTCTGAAAGAGTGGGACCTAAAGATGTGCAAATTGCTGTTTCAAGGAGCTGGACTACAACACAAAAATACACATGCTGCAAGGAACACAAGAGTAAGAGCTGATTGCACTATACAGCTAAGCAAGTTAGTGAAAGATAGAAATACAAGTGTCTGGGCAGAAAAATGATACAGAATGCTGTTTTATTCCACCTTTCCAGCCTCTTCTGCCACTACCAATAATATACAGGATTAGTATTAAAAGACTGGATGGAAAAAGAAGTCTGTCTACCTGCTCCAGGTAGGAGTGGCTGCTACAGAACTGGAACAGCAGCTGCCCTGAGGAACCAAAACCACCAGCAAGACAGGACTGAGCAGGGTAGCAGTGTGTGTGTGCAGGTGAGGAAGAGAGCAGATAGCTGACAGCCTGTGAGGGACACGGTGACTGCGCTAATGGATATGTAGGTCTAAAAAAACCCAACCAAATAAACAAAAAAGCCAACAATACCCCCTACCCCCCCAAAGAAAAAACAAAACACAAAAAACAAACCAACACAAAAAACCCCACAAACCTCACCAAACAAACAAACAAACAAACCCAAACAAAACCCCAAAAGCCAAGAAATTAAAAAGCAAGGGCTCTGCTGATTCTTTCCAGAGTGCTGAACACTTCATTTAAGTGATACCAGCATCAGTTGAAATGAAAAACCCTCGACTGTTAACTAGAGCAGGGGAGGAACTGCTGCTCTGGTGGCCACCACAGCTCAGTGTGACAGAACATCATCCCATGAGGGCCCATCTAAGTGTCTGGAAGTTATAATTTAAGGCTCTGAGCCAATGATGGGTCTAAACCCAGTAACCCATCAGTTTCAGCATGGTGTGATCAATAACAGAAATCTAAGGACAGTGACAGTACAGCAAGGTCTGGAAATACCACCATGTTGGGGAACAGACCAGAACACTGCTCTTGCCCTTCCCAGTCATACAGAACTCAAGGATGCTGTTTCACGATAAGAGCGAGGACACAGCTGTCAAGGAAGCTATCAGATGAGAAAATGCACGTATAAATATTACAGTATTCTTTCCAGAACAAAGCTGTTATAATGGATTTTGAGATAAAGAAGGTAACCTAGTCCATCATGCTGTCCACCAAATCTAGGTTTTCCAACTCCAGAGCCAGAGAACTGTCTCTCCTTCATTTTGAACCAGTGAGACTTAAAACGGAGTAAAGAGAAGCTGCTACACCATGCAGGCTTGAAAAACAGGTCTCCTAGTGAAAGAAAAGGGAATTAAACACTCTGGGAGCCTGTAAGATTGCAATAGCATTGAACGGCATAGAAAAACAAGGGCTCATTTGTTTGAAACTTGCCTTGAAAGTCAATGTAACTGATACAGAGCACCACCATGATAATACCTTCTGTTATGAGACATTGGTAGCTCCAACATAGACCAGTTCTCTCAGTGAGGTTAGCACCTGTGACGGTAAGCAGCATCAGCAGTGGGTGCTGTGTCATTGTTTTCTGTTTATATTCATTTATAGTGGATGGCCTGGCCACAAATCATCTAACCCCAGGTGATTTACACACATTAATGATGATCTAAGCTATCCTGACTCTTTACTCTCTACTCAGCACTGGTCAGACCACACCTTGAGTATTGTGTCGATTTTTGGTCCCCGCTATACAAAAAAGACTGCCCTGAACAGCCAGAGCAGGCATTCTTGGTTCTGTCTTTGTGTGTTCAAACTTTCACTCTTTCTTCTTGTGTTTCCTCATGACATTGAGAGCTACTGAAATGCTCAGAAAATAACCACAGCCTAGGCTAGCACTAGAAATACAGAGATACAAGGGACAACACTGGATTGGCTGATTAATTGGAAATCAATTCTCCTTGCCGAGCAGAGTGTGCTCTGCAGTGTAGAAGTCAAGGGTGGGCTTTCAGAAATTATCCTACTACCCTACAGAAGCTTCTCTCAGGTCCCAGGTTTCTCTCTATTACATTGAAATGGAACCTGGCACCTGCTCAGTGCACTGGATTTCCACTCTCTACTGAAAACAAGATTTGAGTCTGAGACTGGATTATTACGCTCTATTTTTTTTCCTTTGCCCTTCAGTCCATGCATTTTGATCTATCTGATGTCTCCAATCACACAGCATGCTAAGAGTTGGAAGGGACCTCGAAAGCTCATCCAGTCCAACCCCAGCCAGAGCAGGATCACCAGACCAGGTCACACAGGAACACGTCCAGGCGGGTTTTGAATGTCTGCAGAGAAGGAGACTCCACAACCTCTCTGGGCAGCCTGGTCAGTGCTCTGGCACCCTCACAGTGAAAAAGTTTCTCCTTACGTTCTATACTTGGATTATAAACACTCTGGGAGGGGCTGCACTGTAATCTGCCGTTGTGCAGCATGGAATATTGTGGGTTCCTGGGCTATGATGAGGACTTCCAGGTGCTGTGGTAATACAGATGATAACAAATTGAAATTACATGGTAATTACTATTGGTCTGAAGAGAGCTATCTAGTTATGGGAATTAATGGTACTTATAGGTAGCCAAAAGCTTGACCACAGAGAAATTATGCTGTAATTATAATTTGGTACCACTGCAGCTACAATACCCTTCTTGTAAGGGAAGAGGCCAGTTTTCCTGCACCATAACATTAGGCAAGAGCAACAGAGGTATGGATAGAGGTACAGATAGAACAGCCCAAAGGCAGGCACTGTGTGTTTCCCCAGCTCCAAGTTCTGATGACAGTTAAAGAGGAGATAAGTAGTTGAGATATCAATTTCCCTCCAGACACATCTGGATAGTGCTAAAATACCAAGGGGCAAAATGGAGGCCATTCAGAAGGGGAAAACAAGACCAACATCTGGGGCTTCCTGCAGGGGACAGTACACACAGACTTCTGAGGAGCTTGGTAGAGAGACCTAGACTGGCACACGCAAGGGATTATACTTACATAGGCTCCCACAATGCTGCTCTTGGCAGCAACGAAGATCAGACAGATGAAGATGGCTGATCCGAGCATGCCAACAGCACAGACAAGAGGATCAGCTCGCTGGGTTTTTAACCGGCACCATTTGGTTGCCCCAGCCCCTGTGATTACACCCAGGAAACCAGTGAAGCATGTGATTGCTCCAAAGATCAAGCTATTAAAAAAGAAAAAAAAACAAAAAAGAAGAAGAGACAGTTATTTTTTTTTTTAAGTTTTCCCCAAAAACAGGCATGGTCTTTGAACAAATTATGAGGGTACACTGACTAATGAAATATGCATAATGGCTTTGCAGTTTTAAAGTAAAACAAACGAGCTCCCCAGCTGAGTGCTTCTGATTATAGCACTCTTATCCTGCAGTTAAGAAAAACACAGCACATGAAGCTCAGCCTTGTACACAGGCATTGATCAATATGCAAAGAGGTGCAAAGGGCCCATCCTGCTGCTTTGGGTGGAACTGAGCTCCCTCTCAAGCGTATTGCTCAGCTAATTACATATGCACACAACTAAGTAATAACCTGCATATTAATGGTGAAAGGGGAACTCATGGACAGAGCAGGCACTAGAAAGCGTATGGGAAAGGAAACCTAACAAGACTCTAAATTCCCGTGACTTTCAACATACTTGGACTTCCTAAGAAGCCCTATCAGATTATTTTCCTGTCATGTTACACATTTGAAATGTGTTAATTTAAATGTAAAGAGCCAGGAGCTGTCAAGGATTCTGGACACTGTATGTGCAGGACCTGGATTACAGGGTCTTTGGCAACTACATTACAGTAGCTCCAGGGCAGCTCAAAATACAGGTATCATCAAGGAGTGGAAAACTTCTCCCCAGTAGATGGACAGCCTGGCTGGAGGAGTATTTTCTGCTCACTGCATTTTTGCAGAATAGACCAAGATTGCCTGCTGGGTGCTCTAGCTGATGGTACTCCAAACCACTAAGTAGTTTACTGAGGATGGGATTGTATCAGCTAAAGTAAGAAGGTTCTCCTAATGTTATTTTTCCCCTCAAAAGCTAGAGAGAAAAAAGCTGACAAAAAGCAGTTTTTTGTATCTTTTATTCACCTGGAGAAATGATTTTTTTAGCATTTTATGCTTTGTGCCATCATGGCAAAGCACAAAATGATGAATTACTTTTCATAGCTTATGTGCTGCAAGTGATACTACATAACTGGGACCGAAAAACCAAACCACCATGTAACATCAAGCATTTCAAACCAAAGCATCCCAGATCTCCGCACCATTTTTCAGCAAAACTCAGTATACGCAGTAGTGTACAGTGCAACGAAACACAGTGAAGTCCTCACCCATTCAGAAACAAAAGTCTTCAGGGTCAGTCCCTGCAGCCTTTAGGGGAACCCCAAAATTATAGCCACCACCATGGCTACCCACTCTGCCAGCTGAATCTGCCGCTGTCTCGGAAAACAGGGTCTTAAAAAAGGTCTGAAGAAAGCAAATTCTCTCTCAGCTCTCCAAGCACCTTCTAGGGCAAAGATAGCATTCTCTTTTCTACTTCTGCACTATAGCCTGGGAAGTAAGACAGAGCTGAGGTCATTGCTTCTCCCTCAGTTTGACTTCACATGATGAAGAAAAGAAGAGAAATAAAACCTAGTTTACAATCGCAGCATTTCCTATCATTGTTGCAAAGACCTAGAGGAAATTACAGACATTCTAGTAACATGACTCTGTGGGACTTGCCTGTTTCCTCTGGTAAATAAGCCATCACCCCCTTCTGCCCCTCTTTAAAGCATCAGGGTGTGAATCTCACCTATCTTTGGTGCCACAGAGCTGTGAGCTGCACGTCTCTGCTGTCTTCTGCACGACCTGTGCTCTGTGAAGGTAGAGAGGGATCCACATGCCAAGGGCCCCTGTGGCGAAGGAGACAGCTGAGGTGGCCAATGATGAGAACACATAGCTGCGGCTGTGGAGACAAGAGGCAAAACCAAGAGAAGGTTTAGTGGGAAAAGTTTAAAGAGCAGGAGCCTCACGACAGAAGCCAGGGCTTCAGTGACAAAAGACAGTATTCCCCCATACTAGCCACCTCCCTTTGCCAAGGGGCAGAAATAATACAAGGTACCAAGCAATGGAGAATAAGAGGCATGGAGTATTTGTTTACGTGATGCTCCCATGATAATAATGTACTTAACTCTTCGGAGGTCCTTCAAAGAGACCATTTTTCACGGGAGCATTTCAGAAAAAAATCAGTCACTAAGACATGACGTGTGAATTACAGGACTTTCACTGTAATATCACCTGTTTACCTCAATTACTAGTTTCACTTCTCCCTCCCTGTCCGTACCACCATATGATTACTACGTGGATAAACTACCAAAATAAGTAATACAGAAATACTGATGAATTAACTATCATCACTTTTCATAGTCCTTTGATACTGGGTGACAATACCCGGAAGGCATCCTAGCCTGCAGTTCTAAAAATGAAGGACACCACAAGTTTCCCATCAGAATTCTGATGTAACTTGAATTCACAAGTGCAAGTATTTGCACAGTCACAGGCAAGCTTTCTGGAAGCAAGTGCAGCCATCTAAACACTCGTGAGCATGGCATCATTTATGCACATTCTGTGCTTGTGGATTCAGTCACAAATGGTGGTATAAACATATATATTTAAACCTGCCATGTAGTGTAAGCTCTTCTGTATTTTCTCCTCCTAAATTACTCTGGCATTCAAGTCTCTTTTTCCCCTCAGCAGAGTAGGTCTCTCAAGGATGAAAAAGGATCTAAGTGTCTGAACAACAGTGGCACCACAATTAATCCAGGAACACAGCAATTTCTACACTTCAAAAGCCTTGATTTGTCTGAAGTATGAGCAAAACAAAGCAGGCTCTCTCTTAGATGTGAATCTTGGAAAGCTTAGAGCAAAAGCTGGAAACTGTTATTGTCATCACAGTTGATACACTGTGAAAATGTAACTGTGATTTTCTATCCTAGGCCCAAAGACTGAGCTTCCTGCAACTCCCTGCCTGTTGTCACTTTCCCATCTCACACTGCTGGGAAGTACAGGCTGCTGGATGTTCCAGTTAAGCATTAGAGGCAAAGCGTGCTTTTTACTAGAGCGCTCTTACTTTCTAATCAGTGCTTTCATGTCTCTTAGCCATGAGGTCCGAGCCTTCAGCTGTCCCCCAAGTTGTTCAACATTTCCTCTTTTAGCAGCAGGTACAAATATCAAGATGAGTGTCCCTGTCATCATTCCCAGGACTGGAGATACCTGCAAGAAAGGAACAGGGAATCAGCACAGGAGTCAGCAGGGTTTGCTTTGACTGGTCAATAAGAGGCAGTTTACTTAAGTTTCATTTCAGCGACTGAATTCTATACAGCTACCCAGGACCTACAGCTACCCAATCTCTGTGAGCACACGGAGACATCTGCTCCTTTCCTTCCTCCCTGTTATTCCCTGGACTCTCTTATCTCACTCTGGAAGCATGCAGCTTTTGGAATGCTCTGATTAAGGCAGTCCATTTCTTTGTGTTATTAAAGTACCGAGATTCATCTAAATACTGCATTCAGTGATGTTTAACTCTTTGAAAACCTACTTCCAGCTGGGCTATGAGACCAACTAGTTTCTGGGAGAGTGCCTTTTAAAGGCAATGAGGACAGGTGAAAGCTTTCTGGATGTAGGGAGCATGCTGGCTTTGAAAACCCTTGCTTGACATGCATCCCTCCTCCAGCTAACCCACAATGGCTTTCCATTTTCAGAGAGCTTCATTAGAGTACCTCAGTGTACAACAGACCAAGAAACATTGAAAATTCAGGCTGGAAGACAGGAAAACAACACATTAAGGGGTTAGGTTTCCCAGTTTCAAGTCCTGTCACCCAATCACTAGACAGAAATACAAAGATGTCACAGTGTTTTGCAAGCTACAAACATGATTCTTGCCTTGACACTGAAATTCCATCATTGTCAGAATGGAAAATAGCACTGTTAGGAAAACAGGAACACAGATTTTCACCAAACTATCATCTCTTCTATGCATGCTATTTTAAAAATAAATTCCTCTTAAAAAAAAAAAGCTTCCAATAATAACCCAAGAATGCCCTTTACACATAAAGCAGTGTTTCATGTCCAAAGATGACAAACCCACAATTCTTCTAAGGAAGAGAAGACAAAGTTACTTCAGAACTGTAAAGTCAAGAAAATCCCTCATCCAGGGATAAATGGAGCCTGATACAGTATCCTTATTACAGATGAGCACAAGGCAATTTTGCGCAGTCAGGGAATCAATGTGACATTTATAGTGGAAATCATGACCTCCTAAGGGGTACAGTCTTGCAGACAGCCTGGATTTCTCAGGATAACTATGGAGACTTCATCTGAAGAGAAAGACGCTCGTGATGACTTCTTCACATAAATCAATCACGTGGGTTTTACAGACAGAAACCCAAGAGTGCTCCAACATATCACCCTCAGTAAAGCCCACTGACCAGGAGGAGGGGTTTGGGGGTTTCTTATTCCTTGTGCTGGCCTCTGCTCAAAAGTTAATTTTATCCTCAAAGCATTTCTGCTGTTGAATGAGGTAGCCATTCTCTTGGTGTGAAGTTGTAGGCTATTAAACTTTTCATTTCAGGTTTACTCTCCACTGTCCTAGCTGCATATGAACTGCTGATGGCGATTTTTCCTGGCTTTGCTTATTCTTGCTGGACAGGGAGGGAATGGCCTGTGTCACAGACGGGCACAGTTGCTTGAGATGGGAACCCAGGTATCTAATCACCTGCTGTTATAAATGGTGTTGGTCTGAGCTTTACTGTCTTCATGAAGTGCCAGAGCCAGAGAATGCTCCTTATGGGGCCTCATGGCACATACTGCCAAAGGTCAGAAAACAGTTCTGCTGGGCCACTTCCTCTCAGCTCTTTCAAGACATCTTTGTGTGCAGGATTTGTTTGTGCGTATGTGATTGGAGTGTATTATCTTTTCAACACATTCATCAAGGTCCCAAGAGGTTAAAACAGAAGGAAATCGACTGTCTCAGGGCAGAAAAACAAGCGGAAACTGGAACAAAGTGTTTTTTCCTCAAAGCAGGAAGCTATTCTCAGAGTTTCTTGACAGCAGGAAACTGAAAGACTGCAGAGTTGATTTAAGGCCAATGCCTCATCTTCCCATCCCCATCAAGAAACCATGGTTGACTGATAATACAGTGATTGGAACATTCTTGCTTTTGGACAAGCAAAACACCAAGTACAACAAGTCAAAAATACATAACTTTCCTATTTGCTTAGAGAATGCATCTGCTATGCACTTAATATCCATAAATGCCATTTTCAATCCTTTACCTTCTATACACAATAATATGTTGAGGGATTGTCTGAGAGAACTCTTCCTAACACCGACCAACCAATGCAACTGCTACTATGACGTTATTAAGAGTGACTTACCCGCAACGCCCAGCGCCAGTCTCCAGCAACCTGCTTCACGCTTGACCCAGTGATGTATCCCAAGCCACTGCAAGCAAAGTAAAGATGAGAGTCAGAGTACCACAATCACAGCTGTTCTTAAACAAAGATAAAAAGAGGCACAGTCAAGCGTGTGTCCTATGTGCTCCTCTCCGGCAGGAAGAAACACGAGGAATAAAGCCAATGGTAGCCAATACCTAACTCTGCCAGCACTATTGCTCTAAAAAAACTCAAATCTGATGGAAATACGGACAGCGATCTTAAGTTTATAGCTGACATTTCAATCTACAGTGGACACAAACAAAGCCTCAAAAAGGATTTATTTCCCAATTTAACTTCTACATCAGGCCTTTCCGTGCACTAATATGAATACTTACAATTTTATGTTTAAGCTCTCAGTTACAAAGTGCCCTTCAAAGACACACCATACTCCATCACTAAATTTTTGTCTTGTGATTTCATAGTACTTGGTTCTAATTGCCCACGAAGCTTGTAAGCTTCCATAAGCTTGTAAGAAAGCCCAAGAAGAATATGCAAGATGGTCTGATGGGAGAACATCGGACCTGAAGCTTGGAAATCCTCTCTGAAGATAAGGGAGCAATGGGACCTTCAGCCCCATGCTAAGAATTACACTGTGGTAACACAACGTGGCTCTTAAGAGACTAAAGATGAATGTAGCCATGCTCCTCTCAAAGTGAACTGAATGGATGTGAACTTCCCTTTTTTCAACACTGCTGCAATTGTTGCTGAGGTTGCCTTGGCTACAAGTTGTCAATTCTGCTGTCAGACGTCACATGCCTTTATTGAAATGTCTGCTAAGCTTGGGAGGTTGCCATCGATAAACATCCCCAAACTGGGCTTTTTACACTGATGGGCCCCAAAATCAAACCATGGATCCAAACCTCTGTTGGGTATTGAGAAAATCAAGTCCCAGAATCAGGCTCAACGGGATGAGTATCTGTCGTTTCTTGTTAAACATAGTTCACTGAATTCTCAATGGAAATACTTGGCATCCTTTGTTCTCTTGGGAAAATATTCTTTTTCCCAGTTAGGGACTTTCTTATCTCTTTTTCCTCAAGAGCAAATGGATGTTTGTGAGTTTTACCTCATGGACAAATGCTCTAACTTGTAAAATGCACCACCCTAAACCTGAAGTTTTTCCCTCAGATAGTGGAGGATTAAACTGCTGCCCATGTTTTCCCTGTTGGAAATTGAACCCATGATGCCACTTTTGCGAAGGATCAAGCACAAATCCAGGCTGGGTGGAGAATGGCTCAGAGCAGTCCCGAGGAGAAGGACTTGGGGGTGTCAGTTGAGGAAAAACTCAACATAAGCCAGCAATGTGCACTCACAGCCCAGAAGGCCAACTGCATCCTGGGCTGCATCACAAGAAGTGTGGCCAGCAGGGCAAGGGAGGTGATTCTGCCCCTCTGCTCTGCTCTGGTGAGACCTCACCTGGAGCACTGCGTCCAGCTTTGGAGTCCCCAACATAAGAAGGACATGGAGCTGTTGGAGCGGGTCCACAGGAGGCCACAAAGATGGTCAGGGGCTGGAGCACCTCCCCTGTGAGTATTGTCTGAGAGTTGGGGCTGTTCAGCCTGGAGAAGAGAAGCCTCCAGGGAGACCTTATTGCAGCCTTCCAGTTCCTGAAGGGATCCTACAGGAAAGCTGGGGAGGGACTTTTTACAAGGGCAGGTAGCGATAGAATGAGGGGGAATGGTTTTAAACTGGAAGAGGGGAGGTTTAGAGTAGATGTTAGGAAGAAATTCTTTACCGTGAGGGCTGCGAGACACTGGCACAGGTTGCCCAGTGGATGTCCCCTCCCTGCAAGTGTTCAAGGTCAGGTTGGACAAGGCTTTGGGCAACCTGGTCTGGCGGGAGGTGTCCCTGCCCGTGGCAGGGGGGTTGGACTGTCCTAAACCATTCTGTGACTCAATGTTGTCCAGCTCTGCGAATCAGTACGCAAACTATGCGAACCCACCCTGCCTACAACCTCACAAGAGCGGGTCACCCATTATTTTAAAAATATTTTTTTTTTTTTAAAATCACAGATTCTCTCCTGTCCCAACAATCAGATACTGCATTGGGCTGATAAGGGAACTCAATTGAAAGAAATATTCAGAGGAATAATATTTCCAGAGGAAATAACGACTCCAAATCTGAGTCTGTCCCTTGCTTTCACCAAGCATCTGTGGGCTTGCCTGTCCTTCACTGCCCTGTGTTAAAACTGAGTATGAGCAACCATTACAGTTTCTCTCTTCAGCCTTCTCTACACCAGCCTTCACAATTTCTCCTAATTGCTGTTTCAGTGGCAAAAACACTGAAATGGACTGGCCACTGCTATTGCAACTACCAAGTCACTTCAGATTGGCTTAGCTGCATTTTCCAAATTTAGTCAGACTGGCCAAATTCAAGGTTGGGCAGAATCTGAGCTTGAATTAAACATATCTTAAAAGTCAACATTTCAAATCGTGTATGTTACATGGCATACCCCTCTTGAAACCTCCGAAATGTAGGGTGTCACAGAGAAGCAGATAACCATGTGCTCACTTTTGAAAACTCAGCCCAGTGTCTTAAGAGATCCTGATCTCACAGTAACCTGAAAGACATCGGCTAAAGAAGGTCTAGACTTGAAATGAATGGAAGCAAAGATTCAGAGAACCAGTATAACATTATTCAAAATAATGATTTAATAATGCTAAAAAAAGTCAGCTAAAATATTTTTATTCCATTTCCACCCCATTGCTGTAAAAAAAAAAAGAATTCCTTCCCCCTAATTCCCCAAAGTCACACATGAACAGTAATGGGGCTAGAAAAAGAATCCAATTCCTGCAACCGATTAGTCACTGCTCACAATATTTTCCTGTCTAAAACGTTCCACCCAAAGACAGAAGAACTATCATCCTTAGCATCCTTAGATCTGTGTGGGCTTACTTTAAGAGAAAAGATAAAACCAGATGAAAGCAGCACGGTGGCACTCACCTGCCAAGAGGAATTGCGAAGTAGAAAACAGACAGCATGAGAGTCCTTGTGTTTTTGGTGAAAAGATCTCCTATGATGGTCGGTGCAATAGTGGAGTAACTTGCTTCACCAATGCCAACCAAACCTCGTGAGAGCACAAGAAGCCAGAAATACTGAAAAGGGAAAACAAAATACCAAAAACAACAACAACAACAACAAAACAAAACCAAAACCAAAAAACACACAAAAAAACCACCTTAGCAGGTCTCCCCTTCACTTTTTGAATTCAGGATAGACAACAGTGAAAGCTGCGCAAATGGAGAAATGTAAACACGTAACTAAAAAGTCATACCCTTGTATGCATTAATTTTTTAAAACCTCAGGCTCTTTTCATTTGCCTCTTGCTGAGGAAGAAAGGGTATTTTTTGTGAAGATCTATAGGCATGAAAGAAAAGTAATAATAATACACGTTTCTCCAGTGACACTCAAGAAAATACTTTTAATAGAGGCTGAAGACCCTCAGGTTATTCTCAGGCTGGAGTTCACCCATTATGCCGGAGTGCCAGCAGTCTGCACTGAGAGGGGAAGGTTTGGGGAGGGCATGGGTGTAACAAAGCCCGCTCTGGGATCCAGAAAAAGCAACCCCTGCTCGGCACAATCCCAGCCTCCTCAGTGTGCCGAGGGACAAGTTAAGATCGGTGAAATCTTTAGGTCAAGAGAGGTTCTCCTCCCCCTCTACTGTGCCCTGGTGAGACCGCATCTGCAATATTGTGTCCAGTTCTGGGCCCTCAGTTCAAGAAGGACAGGGAACTGCTGGAGAGAGTCCAGTGTAGGGCTACAAAGATGATCAAGGGAGTGGAGCATCTGCCTTATGTGGAAAGGCTGAGGGAGCTGGGTCTCTTTAGTTTGCAGAAGAGGAGACTGAGGGGAGACCTCATTCATGTTTATCAATATTTAAAGGGTGAGTGTCACGAGGATGGAGCCAGGCTCTTCTCGGTGACAAACAATGATAGGACAAGGGGTAACGGACACAAACTGGAACACAGGAGGTTCCACTGAAATTTGAGAAGAAACTTCTTCTCAGTGAGGGTGACAGAGCACTGGAACAGGCTGCCCAGAGAGGTTGTGGAGTCTCCTTCTCTGCAGACATTCAAAATCCGCCTGGACGCCTTCCTGTGTAACCTCATCTGGGTGCTCCTGCTCCGGCAGGGGGATTGGACTGGATGAGCTTTTGAGGTCCCTTCCAATCCCTAACACTCTGTGATTCTGTGAAATCCTAAAAGCTCTTCAAAGCTGTGAAAGAGTTGAACTTGCAATCCCTCAAACTCTGAGTATCAGTGCGCTCAGGCAGGAGTAGCACCAGGCGAAGGATTCGGACTCACACAGGGCAATGGCACAGGTTGCAAAAAGGCTTTAAGCTGCCCACATAATTACCTGCTCTTCTGAGTAAAGGGCAACCCAACAGAATGAGGGGATGGACTTCACATTCTGCAGAACACAGCCCAAAATTGGGATGAAAAGGAATTGTTCATCTAACAGAATTTCCTTCATGGCTCGTTTCCCTGTTTCACCCAACAGTTTCACAGACTGCAAGGACTTGATTTTCCAGCCGACCTCCTTCACTACACTTGCAGTTTTCTGGGCATAAGGTACAATACTTTGACACCTAAATACCTGATCCACGAGCACAATCAAGTTCTCAGACATCTAAGCAGCTTGCATTACACCCAGAAGTAATTGCAGGTGCAGAAATTAAAGAGTCAACTGCAGAAAACTGTAAGCACAGGGAAATCCATTTCTACCAAGGAAACCTCTACAAATCCTCCATTTACTGTTACCATTCTATAGATCATCTGTGAAGAGAGCAGCAGGGATTACAATATGTCCTTAAACACAAAAGTGCCTTGAGAACAGCAAGATATCACTGGTTCCCCTTCTCCAGATGAGGAAAAGTTGAGTTACAGGGAAGTGACTGACTTTGTGCTTTACAGCAAAGCTAAGCCATAACACAGTGCTCTCACTCACAAACAGAAAATGCCACGCAGACATCAACCCACGTGCCACAGTCATGAATACATCCATCAGCAGACAAAAATCTACCACTGACACATTTTCATTGTTTTTCTCACTGTAATTCCCTGGTTGAAAAGAATTTCTTCAGGATTCCTATAGTCACACTAAACAAATACTTCTGCGTGCTATTTATTTCCTCTTATTTTGACGTAAATTCAGCATCAATACCTATTTCTGAGTGTATACAAGTTTCTTGTTTGCTGGCAGGGCATTTGCAGTGCTGCTATCATTCATACATCTCCCATAAGCTGCACATACATAACAGAAGTGGGTATATGCAAAAAGGGCAATACTGTGACTCAAGCTGTTTAATTTGAGGAAAAACTTCTTCTCAGTGAGGGTGCCAGAGCACTGACCAGGCTGCCCAGAGAGGTTGTGGAGTCTCCTTCTCTGCAGACATTCAAACCCGCCTGGCCGTGTTCCTGTGTGACTGCTCTGGTGATCCTGCTCTGTCAGGGGTTGGACTGGATGAGCTTTCGAGGTCCCTTCCAGCTCCCAATATTCTGTGATTCTGTAACTTATGCCAACTACCCAACCCCAAGCCAGTCCACTGCAGAAATATGCTGACAGTGATTGGTGCACAGGTAACCAATGTATTTGGAATGAGCAACAGTATTTGTAAGATGCTGAATGACTTAGTCATACAGAATTAGAAAGCAAGGGAACTTGAGGCTGATTTTGGTCCCTGAAGAGGTTCAGATCTGTATCACGGAGAGTGTGACAGGCGACACAGCCTCCTGTCAGAGCTGGAATGAGAATGCAGACAGTGCTAGTCACACCTGTAACTGCACATGCACTGGGTGTTCCTCAAATTTGAAATATCTACATTAAAATGACACAGGTTTGTGCTCACCAGGCAGCATTGCTCCCAGTGAATGCACTGGACAGGAATTTCCTCCAAATAATGCTGTTACAAGCTTCCTCTTGCAATTCTTGCATAAAGCAGGAAAGCTGCACAAAGTTTTCCTGTTGTGGTAAAGAGTGACTTGGTTTCATCAATACCACTGAATCAGAGTCCCAGTACAAGGAAGTAACAGCTGCAACAAGTAACTTATTAATTTCTCTGCCCTAGTTCCTCCTTGAATCCTCCTCCCTGGCTTATCCCATGCTTACAGACTCCAAATATCTGTTTAATATTTAAACTATGTTGTCTGAAGCAGCAGAATCCAAAATTAAGTCATGAGAGTCTGACTTCAGTTAGCAATAAAAGCAGACTTACAAAAGCACAACCTACATAAAGATGTGAATGGTATTGCCCTTCTGAGATGATGCATTCAAGGCTACAGACAATGCAGTTATTTAGATGTAACAACTAGGAAAATACACAAAAGTCTAAAAGAATATTAGAGAATTATAAATAACCAGTTCTACGTTGTGCCTGGTTTTAGAGCTCTCTATCTAGGTTTAAAGAGCTAATGCCTCCTCTTATGCCACTGAAAGGTCTCTTCTGGATCTCTGGCTAGCACACATCCTATTAGAACTCATACAACAACATCATGCAGTCACTTGTTACACCAAGCTAGAACTCCCAATCTGCCATCTCTAAACAGTCAGCCAAAACTTACTTTTCTATCACCTCTGAAGAGGGACAGCTGGGTAGCTGCCCAAGACAAAAAGTAATCCATTCAGAGAGAGGCCCAATCTTTCCATTTTTCATATAGGAAGACAAAACACAAACAACAGAACAACTCCAAGCTTCCTGTGCTGCTACTCATTTGGGCCACAGACCATGAACCACTTAGAAACTTGTCCCAAAACCACTGTGTGCAATATAGACAACTGCTATTTTTTGTGTGTATTTATGTGCACATACACCCATATGCAAATCCCTCTCAACATGACAACCAACATAAACAAATGGGAAAGTCAGAGGAAGCACTTTTCTCCTCCACAGGTGCAGCAGGACATTTCTACCATTTCCTCTGCATTAGATTTTCCCCCAAGTACGTTTTCCAACTCCAGGATCCTCAGCGGTTTAGTGAGACAAAAAGAGCTGACATCGGCCAAACTCTTCTCTACGTTGTCGGTGCTTAAAAGCAGTGAATTCGAAGTGAATTTCACTGTTCCCCAAGCAGAAATGGATTTATATTAAAGAAGCTTATTCCTTTCTACATTACTCTGGAGCTCTTCTGTAATTTGCTCATCTGAGCAAGTAGTTCTCACTCCAGCAAGAAAATTGAAAACAACTGAGTCAGCTTTCAGCACCTGAGCTTATTCCTTTTCCACAGGTTAAGCCCAGCAACCTCAAGACTTCAGTGTCTTTTTCTCTGGGTCAGTGCTTGCAACTAAAGTTTTTTTGAAATGAAGAGCTATTACAGCAAACTACTTATGTCTTTAATTTTGCTTAGCACTCACGGCAGAGATATCTGCATCTCCGTGAGAGCTGGCAACATGTGATGGTTTGTAGAAATGCAATGGTTTTCTTCTGTAGGGCAGAAACCCCCCTCCCTGCCTGTGCTTCAGAGACCATGGCAGTCGCAGCCATGCTGAGCTCCTGAGCACCAGCTCGGATGTGGGCAGCTGGAGAGGGGTTACCACAGACCTGCACCATACACTGCAACTGCTCTGGGGGCAACATAGGATGCACAGGTGCTCTGAGTCCCTTTCTCCAACTTGCATGTTCCATGAAGGGGCTGGTGAGACACAAACCAGGGAGGACTCCAGTATGCCAATAAACCATCAACATCTAGAAGGAACAGTGGCTGACAAGAGATCCAGAACCACCAGTCTTCCTAGGAATCCCCCTTCAGGAGATGCCATCACCAGAAGCTGGAGACCAGAGCAAGCACTCACACCTGCATACGAGATAAGTCAATGGACCCGCTCTTTTCTCCCCATCTCTTAACTCTGTGGAAGGAAAATACGCCCTAGTTCTAAAGATCAACACTTCACTACTTCATCATTTGAGGACTAACAAACCCAAACAAAAAAGGAACCTAATCTCCCAAAATAGCTATGAGTTTTGGAAGGGATATAAACCCTTATTCCACAGGGAATACATCAATCACTAATAGGAATAAGCAACCTACTAATTTCTAAATTTCTTAACCTAACAGCAAACTGTAGGCAACAGCAGTGATAGATCACGGGGTCAGATGGACCTGGTGCGATTGCTGTTGCCAATGACATTATCCTACCAGATGCTACAGGCATGACACAACCCTTTCAGAACGTTCGCCTGAAAAAAGCTGTCACGATTTGAGTGAAGTATTCATAGCATGCCACAAGGTAGTTCATGTATTTTGTGTGAAAAGCATGACATGGTTTATATTCCCATTTTCATACTGACTTTACTCTCAATCTCACGCACACAAAAATGTTTGATGGCCTAGGACACATGACTTGCTTTAATCATGTCTGGACAAACCTCCTAATTATACATTTATCCTGGTTGTACAGGCCATTGAATGAGTCACACACACTTTAATAGGTCTAGTTACAGCTTTAACTTCTTTCTCTATTTTTAATTAGTTTAAAAAAAAGGAATTAAGCCACAGCTCTTTAAAAGATTAGCTGTCAGTGATAAACCTATAATCTGCCAAATATGTGTACAACTCTGAACCACCAGATTTACCATTTGAAGAATCACATGATCCTTAAGCTTTGGTTATTAAGTATTTGCATTTGAATGTGGAGTAGCTTGTAAGGGTCTCATAAAAAAAGCTGAATACGTGTTTCTTTCAGATCAGAGACACACGGACAGAAGAGATCACACAGATATAGCTAACCTAGTACAAATTATGGATGCACAGCACCAGTGCACGCCATATTTTGAACTGATGTTGCTGGTCTAAAAGAAGAACCTTTTATACAGCTACAGTAACTGCAACTGCACCCTTTCCTATATGAAAATGTTCAGTTAACCTCCTACAGATTCTGTATTTAGCTACTGTAAAACAGGGCTCAGCACCATGGAATTCCATATTTGAACTGCTGAGGCTTGCCATGCTTTCCTTCTTTATTATACAAACATCATGCAGCAAACAAGGATATAGAATCAGGGTTTGCACCCTTGGAAAAAAGATGCACATGAGGAAAACCATCCATGCCACCATGCAGTTAGGATTGCCACACAAAGCCTAAAAGACGTGTCTGTGGAATGACAGTAAGCTAAGGACAAAGTATTGGGATTGATTTAATTTCCCTGGGTTTCCAGAGCAAGCCCAGTTGAACTGTGCTGCAGTTACACTGTGTTTGTACAGCTGGCAGAGTCTTGCACTGGCAACAGCCAGGGTATTGCAGCAGCCACAAGTGATCAGATAGATCAACTGAAGATCGATAAATCTGAATTCTGCAGGAGTCAGCTGATCAAAGTAAAACCCACGGGGCTCAAAGGTACATTCAAGGGCTGCACAACGGTGCTTCCTTTTGAAAGCTACACACATGTGCAAGCTTTTGCCTTTCCCGAGCAGAACCACTATTTTCTGGCCAGGCAAACACCACTTCCTCTTGCACCCCGTTTTCCCCAACCATATCAGTGCTTGGCAGGGATCTAAGAGGTTAAAGAGGACACACCACACCCTTCAGTGCAGGCAGCAGAGACATACCATTAACCATGACACAACCCAAACCAGGAACGTGCTGCTGAGTATCAGTATTGTGACTAAGAGCATAGCAATGGAAGGACATTACAA